CACAATCTGTTGTTAGGTCAACTATTAACTTACTTATTTCACACGGATTTTGTAACCCTTTTTATACCCTTACTTGAAAAATTGGGAGGTTATATAGTAATATCTATATAGTATTCACAGAATCTTTGTTACATAGTACCATTGTGCACCCCCTATTTTATTTTATTTGGATTTGAAATAAATTTCGGACTTCCCATAGCAAAACATGGATACTGCCATTCTTTCTATAATATTGCATGGTACCCATCTCTTGTCCCCTACTCTTCTCATATCACTAAATAGAATTTGATGATACTTTCACAGATTCCTTATTATATGATGCCATCGTTCATCTTCTATTTTACCATTCTGCGGCTTATGTTTCTGTGACTTTGCAATATGTAATCTTTTCTTCGATTTCAATAATAACAAAACAAGTTATGATACCAACAGACAAGGCTTGTAACAAAATCGTTTTGCTTGTAATGCTCATTATATAATGAACTTTATTCCTCACGAAAACATTAACTTCTGTAAAGGAAAATCTTCAAACGTTTTGTGCTACAACACATTCAAAAGTTAAGTAAATCTGATCTACATTCTCAAAAATTCCAAAGAACTTTAAAACAAACTGTTGACATCATCTTATTTTAAAAAAAACAATATAATTAAAAGTACGAGTTTTCTACACTTTATACAACCATTACTCAAAATAAATTGAAAACTAGGTTTTTGTTTGGTATCAAAGACACATGATTCTTCAATAAATTGGAACCGAAATTCATTCAGTTCTCAAGGATGGTCATCATAAAATTACTTAATTAAAATCCCTCTAATTCTACATAAGAATTTTGATATCGATACATAGTGTATCAAAGAAATGCTGGAGTTCCTGATTTTAAATATTTCTGTAGTTTTTGAAGACCGGGTCTTCTAACAAACTGCTGGAATTATGATAGACACTAATTGTACCCCTTTTATCAGACGACCTGTTCTCAACCCCTTAAGCTTTGAAGCAAAATTTGTTTTTAAATCATACACAAAACAGAAATACTCATCTGGGCTTCACACCATTCAACTTTCATGGAGTCATATTTTGGCTGACGTGCGTTTGGAAATGCTTAAATTTTTTAAGCCATAATTGTTTTTATACTTAGTTGGACTATGGAATGGATTGTTTACTTGATCAAGATACATATGAGTTCACGGCGAATATGACTGGTAAACAGGTGGTGCTTATTCCTAAGCATCTAAACCCACCTCTGGAATTTCCAGGGCCCTGCGCTATATGTCCTGACTTCAAGACCATAAACTGAGAACAGACTTAAGTCAAATTTTCAGATTTATAGAACTTTTATAATTATTTTGATAATGAAACGGAATTTTCATCATATGTTTGAATTTGAATGTTACACAACATTGCAATATTTTAAGCAAATATGTTTTATAAAACTCATGATATTACAAATCATAGTTTTGACTTAAGTCTGTTCTCAGTTTATGGTCTCCAGGCCTGACCGAAGATTTGTACTGTTAGTAGATTTTTATAAATCGATTACTGCATGTTCGTTGCCTTTGCTGTTTTCATCCAATACAAAAACACACAATACATGTGTCTCGATATAAAATTTGTTAAGAAGCACTTCAAGTAATATTTTAAATTAGAAATTAACTTGCAAATTCTACATCACCGTTAGTTATCTTCGATGGTTTCATACAACACAAAATCATTTTATGTCAGAACATGCGTCTCAATGTAAAATTTGATAAAGGGAAATTTAAACGAAATAAATAAAATTTTTAAAAATCTAGATTAATTTTTTTTTTATAAAATGCATTTTATGTGTTGATTGTTCTTTCTTAGATAAATAGATCATGTAGTACTTTCATGTAGACAATTATTATAGAAACCAGAGAATGATGTCTCAGGGACGTGTATCGTATTTTCATCAACATGAGCCGCATATGTACAAGCAAATGCTGGTAGAATATTTGAGAATGATATATTATTTAATTTCATCGGGAGTTATATAAGCTATATAACCCTTTCAAGGGACAATTTCTTTTTTAAAAGTTTTAAAACAAGGCATATATGAATTGCAATATGTACCGTAAGAGATCAGAAAAGGTTCAAAACTTTTCATTGGCAATTTGAAAAAGAAGCTTTATAAAACATTACACTAACAACTCTTTTGCATCTGAAAGTGATTCAGTCTTCAACTTTCTTTACTTATGCAGCGATATTTTATTGAACAGCGCTTTAGAGTAATTTTATTAATATTTAGCGCTTTATGAATTCGTTTATTATTATTATTATCATTTATTATCATATACCCTTATCACCTGCATACAGGGTTTATAGATCTCAGTTGATTCGAGACGCAAGAGCATGTTCTACGTATGACCAATTTCGTAAACGAGGTAAGTTACAAACAAACAAGTTGATGAAACAAGAATATCAGCAGACTCGTTTAAAGTCAACAATGCGTAAGTTCTATGGTCGATACAATCTCCTTGTCAACATATACATCTACAATTTATCATTCAGTCGAACGCTTACTGACGTTTTTCTTGCTAATTGTGAGGTCATTATTTAAACACTGAATTGTCGACGCATTTTCCCGCTACTTCCCGATCATGTCAAGCAGCAAACGGAGGCCGTACCTGGTCGACAAGGCAAGCTCACTCCTCCATGCCACCTGATCCCACCCCTGATGTTCTAGAGGTCCGTGTTTTCTCTGCTCCTGATTTGTATTGTTTAATGGACTTTTTTTTTTGCTTCAGAAACAGTAAATATTTTATTTAAATAAAAATGGCTTAATCATTGAATTTAGCTATTAACAATGATTTGCTGAATAAGATAATTTAAACGTAGATTATTAATACAATGTATTTACACAGATCTGCAATTTATTGAAACAATACATCAGATTATAAATGGATATATTAATAATGACTAACATTTGAATATCCCTTCCTTCCAGGTACATTGTTTATCGCATTACGAGGATAAAAATGTCAGTAGTAATATTTGGTTATTATATAATAAACAGTGTTTTCCATCACATTCACTCTAGACTCTAAATACTTTTGATAGCTTCTGCTTTAGTTCTGTTGTCAGAAATTAAGTCATATGTCTGAGAGGGACAATGCCTAACATGATTCAAGATCACTCCATCTTCCGTCCAAAATCAACTGATCATTTGAACATCTCTGAAAGCTTAAGTGCATCCTGTCTCGCGTAGAAAATAGCAATCCGATATAATTTACTTATTAGTCTCTGATGGCGAAGGGAATGTGCTGAATGCTAAATATTATGGCTTCTAAGTGACTGGTGCAATTGCGTGCCTCATTTAAACCCCTCCGAATCAATGCAAATTTTCTGGACATGTCGGAACCATGGGAATCTTGCGAATGTTTTCAAGTGTTTCTCGAATCGCAATATCTATTTCTTTTGGCAGGTCTTAAATGCTTTTCGGAATCATATTGATTGCGCCTAACAAGACTCACATAACAAGAACTAATGATCCAAGGGTGAAATTTACGGACAAATCTGAAGATGAGTTAGCTAATAAATGAAGCTATTGGTCACAATTCTGCCAATTTACAATTCAAGTCAGAAACAAATCAGTGATGCAATTTCAGTAATTTTTCATCTAAAATAACAAAAATGCACAATACTGTTAATAATGGTCTGCACAAAAATTCAGCTCAATAGTGACAAGCTGAGACATACGATTTAAGATGTGAATTAACAAAAGATTCATTAAATATTAAATTTAACATGTTAAATGTAAAAATTAAATTAGAAACATAACATTTTTCACTTGAATCCAATGGTGTCTTGAATCTTTACCAAATGTTTACGACTTGATTCTGTTCTTTATCTAATGTAACGAATCCGACAAGTGAAAACAGTTAATGTTAATGTACTGTCACTGACCTTTATATTGAAGGCATTTGCTACAGCTCAGTGGATTGTGATTTATACCAAGCAATAAATACCACAAAACAAATAAGACCGGTTATTGGTTGGCTTTTGTTAGAACACGAAAGAAATGAAAAAGAAATTTGATCAGTACTTGCTCGGCAGTGTCAGATATCATATTCAATTCTCTTAAAAAGTTCTGAACCCAGTCCGATGAAAAGAAAGAATTATTTTATAGCTCAGACCAGTAAGTTTATTTAGTGTATCTTTGACAAAACGGGCTTTAAGATACCTTTTAGATATGTGGGGGATCATAATTGTCTATGATGAATGATGACAAGTTCTCACAAATTAAAACCTAGACATGAACTAGGTATTATTGAACAACTTGAAGACATACCGATACTTTTTTAGAAAATTATCAACATGGAAGTTATTTCCTAATATACATCAAAGACAACAATGATAATTCACAAAACTTCTATAACAAGTAACATTGTCAAGATGCAAGACCTGAATAGAGGAAACAATTTTTATTTAGTTGGAACAAAAACTGCCTTATTTTAATCTTACAATATTTTGTCCTAAACAACAATTTTCTCGGACTTTTTGTCACATTGCATTTACATGTGTCTCTAATGACGTCACAAAAAGGGGAAGTAACTCTATTAGCGAAAGTTATTTTTAGCGATATTTAAACAGGTAAATACAGAAAACAACGAGGTTTAAAATTAAACGAATATTGTAACTCCCTATTTTTAACTATTATTTACATCATATATCATTTACAAGCATATCTATTTTCTTTGAACTTGACCGTTAAATAGATGGATTTTTGATGATGATACACCATAGTTTTGAACAAAAACGAATAATGAGAGCAAAAGGTACTACATGTTTTGTACTGTAAATCACAGATTGTTGGATCAAGTTTTCGGGGATATAAGAAAAATCTTTGTTCGCGGGGATTTCCTTCTGTGGCTAAAAAAGTGTTCAGTAGTAATAAAAATTATAGATATTGGAAAGGATCTTGAAACAACGAATCCTCTTACAAAACGATTTTTAAAAAAGTATTTTGTGTTTTGTTTTACAGCAAGTACCGAGTAAGCAGTCATTCTGTGGCTCTCTAAGGAGGGATGCTCACTGGAAATGTATGATTTTGACGTTACTCATATATGGATGCCTCTCAGCGATAATTTGGTGTCGACTCGCCGTCATCACAACTATAACAGTTAGTTACTATGGTCATCGGATGGCTAACACACATGTGACCAGTTCTAAACCGTGTGAAGACGGATACATCTACATTCCTATTGCTTTTGTTATAATGCTATACCTCGTTTATCTTGTGGAATGTTGGCATTGTCACACAAGATTAGAATTAAAACATAAAACTGATGTTCACGCAGTTTATGAAAAAATACAACAAATGCAGGAATCTATTCCTATTATATGGTGGAAAGCACTTTGTTATCATTACATTAGAAAGACACGCCACGTGACTAGATACAGAAATGGCGACTCTTTCACTAGTACTCAAGTATACTATGAACGCGTCAATTCCCACACGGCAGGGTCAGCATTCAATTTCACACAGTGCGGAATTAAGGACGTGTCCGCTTCGCTCACCGGTTTGGAGAATTTTCCCGCTACCAAAATTAGATTCACAAAAGGATATTCATTCTTGTGTTCCGAAGCAGAATACGAATTTGATGAACAACGAAATAGATTTTACAGAGATAATGAAAGAAGGGACGACTACATTGAGACAAGGGAAGGACTTGATTTACTTAATGTGAATTTCAAGCAGTACATGATTGCTTTCAGAGATCCCGATAATCTCCCTTGGTATGTGTCACATGTGATATTTTGGATTGCTTCCTTTCTTCTCCTGTCTTGGCCTTTGAGAGTAATCATTGAATATAAAACTGCCTATGTTCATTACCACGTTCATAAAGTTTTTGGCACAAATTATTTGGAAAATGACACAGAATCTACGCCTATAACGCGCGTCAATACTCTGGGGAGCTCAGATCTAGAAGTTTTAATACAGAACAATGACATAGCCCCAAGTTATTCTGAAGCCTTATTAATGTCATCTGGCAGGACAATAGGGATTCCGGATGCAAATGGAAATGTAACAAGAACGAAGTATGGTGCAACAAGAAGTGAGACTTTTTCTGCGCTCTCTTCCATTGGTAATGACAAGGATTCTCTTAGGAGAATCCAGTCTGGAACTGCCCTAAATTTCCCTCCATGCAACAGCTTTTGTATCATAAATGGCGGCATTGTGTTCGAAAATTACAGTATGCAAAACGGCAGTTATGCAACTTCTCGAGGGTCAGAAACGCGGAGAGCATTTATATTTTCAAGACAAAGTGATTTAAACTCCTGCCCTAATTCACCCACAGAGTCTTTAGTATACGTGAATCCTAGGCGTGGTACTGCCAGACTGACAAGACAAGATTCATTAGTGACAAGGTCTCACAATCATGAAACTCTTCTGTATCATGATGATTTCGTGGACCACGCACCAGGTCCCGTTCGACATTATCGCTGCTCGGATAACGTCAGCACACGCGATTTAATCCCATGTGATCCGCCTCCCGATTATCATCAAGCACTTTCAATGCAATCACCAAGAAGGGCCCCAAAAGGAGGACATACCATACTTCCATTGCCTAGAACACGAATTGTTTTGGAGGAAAACACTCGTTTACAATCAGTGCCAAATTCTAGAAACTATCATACCATGATGGAAACATCACTATGATCGACATGTATTTAAATAGCAAAAATATATTTTTCACCCTATTTATTCATTTTTAATTAAAAATAAGAAGCTCACTGATACCTTCTTTATTTTTGAAAGCAACAAATATTTATTTTAACGAAGATACATTTGTGCTAAAATCTTTTGTAGCTAAATCTATTCCCTGATGTAGAGAGTTGTAAATATCTATTTTTTTTCTCTTTGGTGATATAATTGATATCCTTTAAAATAAGATACATATATTTACATTTAATATTCATTTGTTTTTGACGTTCAATCTATGTATAATTTGAAAAAAACAAAAGCACAATTTCTATTTTAAAAAAAGGATTTTTGACAATTTGATATTAATTAACCTACTGAGAATCATTAAAGGATATTACAATTTTGACAACATCCTGAAAGTTGCCATTATGAAATAGATGAACAGAAACAGCTTCGCTACGAAATGCAAGTATAAAAAGAATTTAAAATTATTTTAAAAATCAATTTTTACATATCTAGAGAGGTTTTACTTGATATCGGAAAGCAATCTCGAAGACTCGAATAATCATGGATTTTCAAGACAGCCCGGTTTTGCTAAACCTTCATGATGAGAAACCTGTCTACAAAATAGACATTAAATTATTTACTTTTATATAAAAATGCCCATCGTTAGATTTATGACATATCTTAAAAGCTCTTTTGTTTATTGTAAATGCAAAAAGGGAAAAAATAAAATTATTCATTCAAGGTTATGTATTATTATAATATTTTCTGCATTCATCAAGAAAAATAAGTATGGCACGCTTATAGATCTTTGCCAAGACCTGAAAAATATTTAGATCCATTATAGAAATGATCGAGATCAATACATAAGTTCCTATTCTATTCTCATTTTTCAATGGAATTCTAGTTGTATTATGAAAACCCTCTCCTGATGAACATATAAATAAGAGTTATAGCTTTGCATTCCCCTTGTTGCCTGCTTGTCAGTAATTCAGCTCAGTAATCTAGGAGAAAATATCAGATTTCTGGACCCTTTTCTAAGCTAATCTTTATTACATTTTGACATGCAGTATTGTTTCAGAATGATCTTGAAAATTTACAGTATCTTCTCGGGGCGCTGCTAATCAGTATTGCTTATTGGGCGCAATTAGAAAGCTCAATGGATATAAAAAGTTCAAAATCGTCCGCTAAGTTTCTTTACACTGGAAATAACAACAACGTAATACGTGATAATGAAAAATTATTAACGGTTAAATTTTGGACTACTAACATGTCTCGTGTCGTTTTAACGCCTGTTTAATTATAACATGAATTGTAATTGTAATATGATCTTTTTAAAATAAATTTAGAAAGCTAAATTAGACTTCCCATTTTCTACGATATGATCATTACAATAATTGTTTTTGTTTCATATGAAGTGCAATGAATTGTAAATCTTGAACTAAAATTATATTTAATATACATATTGGAAAAAAGACCTAGATGTTTTGACTGATAAATAGGGCCATGAATAATTCTAACGCAAAGAGTACAATGGTGCAATTCTGTTGAACGTTTTAGAATGAACAAACCTTCCCTTTTCCCAGTATCATTAAACTGTACAGTATTATATAGTTTTCCGGTAATACTTCATTAAAATGAAAAAGGTTTTCAGTTATCTTCCATTGGCTTTGTTCTTTTCTCATTATGATCTTAAAGTCCCAGAAGCAACGGTCGTTTTAAATGTCATAGGTAAGTATTCAATACATTGTCTGAAGTACATCAGATTGTCTGGTGTTCTGACAGATCATTGGTGTCTTTACCTTATTTATTGACTTGAGGTACTTTAATTAAAACAAACAAAATGAATTTTATTTAATATTTAAGACAATATGCTGTGTTTGAAGATTAGGGGATTTTGTAAGATACAGTTCTACAGGATGTAGATACGAGTGAGTGATTTACATAACCGAATACGTTTATTTAATTCAATATTTATCGATTCAGAGAAGAAACAAAATGGAGATAATATACATTATTAGATAAATGTGCCAAATCCTATTTATCATACTGTTGTCCACGCGTATTTGACAGCTCGGGGCAAAGATTGCTCAATGAAAGGACAAATGTTATCATACTGGTCAAATCATTCACTTAGTTGTAAGATCTCAAAGATGTCGGGTCGTAAGAGACGAGTTGAAACACTGTTGTGTAGTACTGTATCAATTTTGCCAACAATCTGTAAAAAAAAAATCCTGAAGAGACGAATTATGCCCCGTTATAAGCAGATATTTAATAGTATTTATATAAAGAAGAATTTATTTAAAAAATAAAACAACTTCTATATGACATGAAGAAATCGTTTGTCTTAATTTCAATTCAACAGAGATATCGACGACCTTTTACATTGGTGTTTTACTCTATACATTTTTTTCTACTATGATTTGATATCTCATTGAACTCGTAATAGAACAAATTCAAAATAAATCTGAGAGATCTGTTTCGATTTTGGGATAATGTCCTGAAAAAAAAAACGCAAAGGAAAACCTAAGGATAAAACTTGAAATGTGTTGTCTTCACATTGTTGTAAACATCCCTTACGTATGCAGCAATATATCCTTATCACCTGTAAACGGGGTTTATATCTCTTAGTTGATTCGATACGCAAGAGCATGCTCTACGTATGATCAATTTTTAAAACGAGGTAAATTATTGAGGACACAAGAACATCAACAGTCTCATTTAAATAAAATCGTTTCTTTTGTCTATGGCCAAAACAATGAACTTGTCAGCAAATACAAATTAGCATTTGAGTCAAAGCTAACTGACGTTTTTCATATTAATTGTTAAACACTGAATTTACGACTAATTCTTTTGTTATATCCTGTTCATGACATGGAGCATGGGGCGGATATGACCAGTCAGCAGAGGATGCTCACTCCTCCATGGCACCTGATTTTAGAGGTCCGTGTTTCCTCTACTCCTGAATGTATTGTTTAAATATGCTTATGAGCTTGATAATGTTCCTTAACTCCGTATTGTTCACAAGCTATTAACAAAAAAGCCCGTGAAAAAATGATTTCAAAAGATTCATTTAAGGGGTACTGACCCTCTCATAAGACAGATAACTTTCAAAGTACTAAAATATGAATACTAATTACAGTTTTCTTATTTAGAGTTTCCTAATTGAGACCTCCGAGTAGTCAATTCGATGAAATCTGTTATATGAAGGAAACATTGCTTTCTATTTCTTTTGCCAATTTCTTTGTAATTTTTTTTTATTATATTTAACAATAAAACATTTAAATCCAACTTCAAAAGCCTTATAAATTGAAAAAGTTGTGTCTTTTTATGGACCATTTTAGATTTTGTTTAATGTTTCAAGTACTTAATACAGCATTTTTGTTAGTATAACATTTTTTTTTACATGAAGAAATATTTAAAAGAAAGATAACTCCTCCTCACAGATGTATTTTTTTCTTACAACCACATAACATTGTAATTTTCTGACTTAGGAAGCATCGCTTCATGATGTTTTCGAACATGATTTCAATAGGTATGATACTAAATATTATTTTTGTATGCACCTCATATCTAATTCAATGTTGTGATAATAAATCGTTACTCGTTATCTTCTCTGTGTTGAAATTTCTTCATATCATGATATGACATAAAAATCATTTCTGAAAAAAAAAAAAATAAGCAGCGCTCCATACTTCGAACTATTTTCCATGTAACTTTAATGTTATTGTTGATTATGAAAAGCAATATTACAAATTGTAAATTTTCTAAAGTGAAATTTATAGCAGAGGGTCGGGACCCCTTAAAGATAAACAAGTCACAAATTCTATTGGTTGATATAATGACATTGCATCATTAAGATTATTATTGACAATGAATTGTCTATAACTGTTATGTTTGCCCGGACATTACAAGGAGCACAAGGCGGATGTGACTGTCGCAAGGAAGTACTTACTCTTTTATGGCACCTGGCCTTAAATCTGATGTTTTCAGATGTCCTTCTTTTGTATTTCTTCAATTGATTTTTGAGTTTGTTTACTGTTTGTACAGCCTGGGACAGCATGTTAAATTACATTAGGTAAAATAGGATGGAAACAATCGCGTTGATATCCATACTCTTTTTCTATCTACAGTTTTATTTTAGAATTTGTGTTATATGTTATAACCTTATACAGCAAGATAATGTCTAGAATACAGGGAATTTCTGTTCTTGTCGTTTTTCTAATTACATTTCAACGTTTAATTAAATTCACCATTCATTTAACCAAAACAAACATAAGGTTTTTATTTCGAGCATTTGGATGGTACATTTTCCAACTGCCAGACTGGTTAAGGAAATAAATCTCGATTTAAGGTAAAGATCCATACCATCCTATAGAAATAACGGAACTACAGATTTTGTTGAAACTTTTCAGAATCTTAACTGAGCATTTGTCCTTTCCAGATCAGTGTAAATTTTGGGGTCAACCGGGCCTCCTTTTGAAAGGATTGTTACTAAAAATAGACATTGTCTCGTGAAATGACGGAAATGCGGAAATGAAGATATTTATTCTAGCTTTCTAAAATTAAAAGCAAAAGAATTTTTTTAACATATGAATCATAAAGAAAATATGCTTGTTTAAATGTTTAATTATTTTTTTAATCTGCTGATCCACCTAATATTACTTTCTAGGGCGAATTAAACATATTTAGCTCAAAATTATAAAGTTCATTACTAGTAAAAATAAATTGCTGCTTGATATTCTGACTACAGATTTCTTTTTAAAATTAACACGTTATTTTCCAATGTTCTCTCCCTTATATGGCATAAAAATTAAGTGGGGCAGCGGGCATCAAACAAGAAAATTTCACATTTTTAAACCAAATTTGCTGAAAAATGATAATTTGAAAAATCTTTTTAACATCTATACTTTTAGGATTTTGGTGTAAAAATCGCTTTAAATATTCGAAACTATCGATAATAGAACAGTAATAAGTATGGTTTAAATCATAAGTTGAATATTTAATGCATAGACGGCCAAAAATTCGTTTTCACGATTCACAAGCATAATAGTAATCGGGTTCAATCTTCGGAATATTCTATAAA